ATGGCAGAGAGGGCCGCGGCGAACGCTTCGCAACAACAGAGCGCAGCTGGGGAGAAAGTTAAAAGAGGAAAGAAAAAAAAAATTTAAAAGTGGGGGTAGGGTGGCGTGAGCATGCAAGGCGGGAACCCGGGTTGTGCAGCCACAGAGAGCTGCTAGGAGGCAGGCGCACCGGGAAAGCGAGCTTAGGTGGCAGCGAGGGACAGAGGACACCGGCGCAGAGGCAAGGGGATGCCCACGGGCGAGCGGCGGGAGCTGGGGGTCCCTGCGGATGCCACGCTGCCGCCGGGCCAGTCCAGGCTGAGTTCGCAAGACAACTCAGGCTGGCTGGATCCGAGGCTCAAACCTCTGTAGACTTTGCTGGGAAACTAGGTCTCAGGCAGCGGGAAGGACCTCTAGGGGTCAGACGCAAACAGGTGGCAAGAGACTTGCAACCTGGGAGGTGATGCCTCTTTCCCTGGCTTTCCAGATGTAGAGAGCAGAGTCTGTTGGCCTCTTTAGGAATCTTGCCACTGCTAGCCTGCGCAGGAATTTGCAGGTAAGATTTTTCTGGAGCGCGGTGCAAGGATTGCAAGCACTTTGGAACTGGTCCAGCTTCTAGAGTTCTTTACTTCGTCTTTACTGCTTCTATACCCACCCTGTCGATGTAAACCTTCAGCCTCTATTTTCCTAACTTTACTTTGTAAGTTAAAACTACTTTTTTTATCTAACATGTTTTTTATCATATAATCAAACTTGAGAACCGTTTCAAGCTACGTTTGGAAGAATAAATTTAAAAAAATACACAAACCTCTTCGTCTTGATTTGCCAAGTCCCAGATGAATGAGCTCATGTTTCTGGTGAATGCCAAATACAGAAACATGGAAATATTAAGCCCACTCTCCCAGACGTCAAATTCTTAGCTGGTTCTGTCTGAGTATCTTCCGATGTGGTTCTGACAGGCTATGGCGACATGTATTTCCAAACAGTGGGGAGACCTTTAGTATCTGTTTTCCTTAATGAATTAAAAAGACTGCTAGATTTGGAAAACTTTAGAAACCACAAAGATATTATGACGCGATAACTTCTAAGTCCTGGACCAGACAGTTCATTTTATTTTATATTTCTGTCTGAGATTTTTTTTTTATTTCTGTTGGTGTAAAGATATTTGTTAGAGACATATTGCCTATAAAGAAAAATGAGCTAGGGGCCTCGATACAGGGGAAGGAGCCTGGTCCTGCCTCAACTTGATGTACCCTGCTCTGTTGACTCCAATGGGAGGCCTGCCCTTTCAAAAGGGAAACTGAGGAGGAGTGGATGCAGGGTCGGAGTGGGGTGGGGAGAAAGGTAGATGGGAAGTGGGAGGGGGGGAACTGTGGTTAGTATGTAAAATAAATGAAAACAATTAATAAAAAGTTGAAAAAACAAACAAAAGTGAGCTCAATAGTTGAAGTGTCTTAATCTTAAATCGCAAATCTTGGCTGAGTGTTTTCCTACGACTGGTTCCTATCTGTATTTCAAGAGGGCAGCCTCTCCTAGGATCGGAGATGGAAATGAACAGGTAACAAGAGCGCTTAGTCTGAGGGACTGTATCCCAAGGCAAAATAATTCATACACGGTTCAGAAAGCTCTGGATAGAGCTTAATGAACTACCACACATTTCAACACCTCTACAGCTCAAGTGTTGTGAATAAAAAACCTCTCCCTCACGACTGTGTAAGACCCAGGAAACCATGTTCTGTCTTGACAGAAATGTTGGTTTAGTTTCTTTATGGTTATTATTCTCAAGGTGATGGAAGAAGCTGTTTCTCTCTGCCTTTGTGTTAGTCAAGCATTTAGCTTTCTCTTCTTTCCTATTTCTAAGTTGGCTTGTCTCCTGTCTTAAGTGAAGACACATATCTAAAGACTTCGCAAATTAAATCAACTCTTCTATTCTGAAGGATGCACTGGAAATACGTGTTTATTTCTTTTACTTGTCTTGTAGCATTCCCAAGAAAGGAAGGAGAGACTTGTTTCAGAAAACAGGTCATTGCCAACTTCCAGTCAGAAGGGCAGCAAGACCCTCAGGGACCCCAGAAGGGTAAATTTGCACCTTTCTGCTCCCAGGGGAAATGAGAGGCATCACAGAAAAGGAACTAGTCCTTCCTATGAACAGACTCTGAAAGGCACCATGTTCAGAAATAGTCTCGCTCATAGAATAATGTTATCCCCACAGCTCTCCTGATAGCCAGGGCAAGTAGCAATGAACTTTCATTTAGAAGAAAAGCAAGACTTTCCAAAAGACGAATATTAAAGCGTTGCTACGGATCAGTTTGTTTGGGGATCAACACTCTACACAAAGTTCTGTGGCTTATGTTCAAATCGCAAGATCCAATCTGGTGTGCGTGCAAGGAGGACTTGAATGTCATAGGAATGGAGCATGCTGGGAAACGTTTGTTATTTCCAGAATCAGAACATTGTGGTCTTTCTATAACAAACTTAGTAAACACTTGTATAGCTAAACTTCACGAATGAAAAAAAGTCCTGATTTATCACCATTCTCATTAGAATTCATGTCCTGGATAAGTTCTAAACCTTAGCAACTGACCATAATTAGATAAGAAGAAACCAGTGATCCAATAAAGGAAAGTATATAGAAATCTTATTTTCTCGATTCAGACATAACTAGAAAACTGAGTCATCTTTTATTTAATCTTAAAATATTTAGTTTGGGAGCTGAAAAGATGGCTCCACAGGTAAGAGCAGGGACTTGAGTTCTATTCCCAGCACCCATGCTAGCAGTGCCCAATCACCTCCAACTCCAGGGGACCGGACACCTGTCCTCTGCAGGTACCAGCTCTCTCGTGCTTATAAACAGACCCGCACATACAGATTATTAAAATAATAATTTCTAAAAAATAAAGGTTAGCAGGGGACCAGAGAAATGGTTCAATGGTGAAGAGCACGGGCTGCTCTTCCAGAGGACTGGGGTTTGGTTCCCAGCACACAAATGCAAGCTCACAATTGTCTGTAACTCGAGTTCCAGGGGATCCAGTGCCCTCCTCTGGCCTCTGCAGTCACTGGATGAATGTGAGGCACAGACATACATGCAAGCCAAACACCCATACACTTAAAATACAAATAAAGGTCAATTAAAAAGAGGTTTTCAGGTTTACTAAATGATTGCTAGCTTGCTATGGCCAAGAAATAAACTTTGCCATTATCTATGACTGTTAAATGCCTGTCTTCTTAGACGTTAAATTTCCAGCCATAAATACTACCTATTTTACTAAACATATTATTACTGAGAACACTACTACTCTAGATACTTAGAACATATTAGTTTAAAATTAACCAAGAAGCTCCGTAAGACTTTGCATTTCATTGAAATAGCAAATATTTTAAAAGTAGTTAATTTTTAAAAGTTCAAATTTGTTTGTACAAGGCTTTTGTTTACATAAAGCACAGATAAGCAAAATGCCAAAAGCAAAAAAAATGTAACCACTGCATTAATTTTTAAATTAAAAAGAGAATTTCATACATGCATATTGTATGAAACCCATCCCTCCCTCCAACTTCTCCCATACCCCCATCCCCTCCCACCCAACTTCATGTACTCTTTTTAATAGCACTGAGTTCACCTAAGGCTGCTCTGTGAGCACAGGCCATCCAGGGGAGTACAAACAGCTGATGCAGTCTGGAACCAACTGGAAAGTTCCCTTATCCAACAGTCATCAATTGGCCAGAGCTCTTCAGCTAGGGTGGGACTTCATAAGCCTTCTGCTTATCCTTGCGTAGATATTAAGATTTATGAAAATGTCTTAATTAAGTAGTGGTAGCGTTCCTAAATTCTTACCACTTCTCATATTCATTGACCATTTATGGGAGATACTTACTTATGTAGAAAGGGGAGAATCAGCTGTGGAACGGGAAGTTAGAAACCAAGGGACTTTGGGCCCAGTTCTGGCAGTGAAACATCTGACGCGGTTGCCACTATTTCTCTTCAAATGAAGGAGTGGAGCGACAATTGTTTTTAACATAGTAGAATTAAATTATAAGTTGATTTTGTTGTTTCAAGAAAAATTTGTAGAGCTATGTAATAAGCTTATTATTTGGAATATTTAGTAAAGGCATTCCTAATAGTCGTCAAACACAGAGAACATCATCTTCCACCAGTGGCTAACAGCGAATGGGTGAGTATCCTTGGGGGCATGGGCTTACACTTGCTGAATAACTGCATGAACTGTGTTACTCACAAATGTCCTAAACTCATATTCTTGTAGATGGAATCCTGTGTCCTGCCTGGTCCTACAGCCGTTCAGTCCCAAATAAACACACAGAGGCTTATATTAATTATAAACTGTCTGGCCTGTTGCTCAGACTTACTAATTAGCTCTTTCAACTTAAATTAACCTATAATTTTTATCTATGTTTAGCCACGACTTGGTACCTTTTCTCAGTAAGGCACGCTCATCTTGCTTCCTCTGCTGGCAACTGTATCTCTGCTTTTTCTCTTCCCAGAATTCTAGTCTGGTTGCCCACCCCCATACTTCCTGCCTGGCTACTGGCCAATCGGGGTTTTATTAAACCAATGAATGACAAATCTTTACAGTGTACAAGAGCATTATCCCACAGCATTTTCTCATGAGGAGGAACATATACAGAGATTACTATTTTCGAGAAGATACATTAAAAACAGATTTCAAATGTTATACAAAAGGGGGATATAGCTCAGCATCTTCACTATGAAGCCTTTGAAGGGCACACACTGTAGAGGAATGCTGGAGCTGATGACTTAATCTAGCTCCCATTTGTTCTGATTGTGAGTCACATTTGTATTTACCAAGGCTGTTGAGACACATTCCAGATCAAAGTACTGTTGTGAGAGATTAGTATTTAGGTTAGATTCAAGTTACAAAATAGACACACACACACACATACACAAGGTAAACAGGTGCTGATAAGTCACTTATTCTAGAGTGGAAGGAAATTCTATCTCATTTATGCAGGAAATTAGTAATTCTAGCAAACTTTTCTTGTCTTTGCCTGGACACATGTAATGATGGAAAACACATTGACCCCTATCATCTACCCACTACTGTTTTGGATCATTTAAAGAAGTAGAACTTTCTTATCATAAATTAATACTTAACCCTTGCCATAACAACAGTATATCATCTGATATTACTTAGGGTAAAGATAACTATAAGAATAAAGTCTTAAAAACAATGATTCCTCTTCAGATGTGTAGCCATTTTGTCCCTCCAAGGTCTTTTCTTCTGGTACACATTTTCTGGTTACTACTTCATTTTCTTTTGATGGGGTTTAGAACACTAATGTCTTATACCCTTACTTTAAATGCTAAGAAAAAGGGTAATTCAAAATTGGAAAGGAAACCCCACTTTAATGTTCTACAAAATAAGAGCCTGCATCTTCCTGTTCCACATCATGTAATTTACAAACATTCCAATGATAATGGTCTTGTTCAGGAATGTCACTGCAAGTGTAGAGAAGCCAGAGAAATGACTGGTTCATCTTCATCAGACAATTCATATTTTGAATAGTATTTTGCAAGTCAACTAATTCAATATTCAAATTTTAGACCTACATTTAGAATGAACCAAGAATAACCCAAAGCTTTATATAATGTAAATGTAGAAATAATTTTTGAGCACAGTAACATAAATGACATTTGCATAAAGGTATGTTTTATGTAATAGCATACTTAAAGAATATTAATTATTCAAAGACATTAAAACATTCAAATGATGTTTCCCTTAGGAGGAGGAAATATTTAACAACTCAAAGGCAGACCAAATGAATGCACTGCTACATATGATAATTAAGACTACATCTTAAAATAAATGTTCAGCATGTAACAGATTTAAAGGTAGCTTTGAAACATTGTGGCTGCCCTAAATCTTTATTTTTATACACAAGAAGATGGAACTATTTATGTCATTCCCTTCTATAATATTTTCTTATTGAAGTATATAATTTTGAAGGTTTCATCTAAGTTTTTCTATTATAAATGAGTACCAAGAGGCCAAGGTCTTAAAATATCAATCCACTTGTGGAAATTATATCACTCTTGAAATCTGTGGCATTTCTCCCCAGATGTTTGAAGACCTCAAGTACTGTCAAAATTATCTCTAGTATGCAGCAGAAACCAATTTTCCTGGAAGAAAATGTCCTTTATTATAAATTAAGGACAATATTATGCGACCAAGAGATCCCGTAGGTCAAAGACAATGCAAATGACCAAAACATTTCATGAGATGTTTATGCAAATTAAGAGACCATCTCCTAGGGTTGGAGAGTTGGCTAAGTGGTAAAGAACACTTGCCGAGGACCTAGGTTTGGTTCCCAACACCCATGATGACTCACAATCACTCACAATCCAACCCTCTCTTCTGGATTCTAAGGTCACTTACACATACATCCATGTGGATGAGACATTTATACACATAAACCTGAAAATTAAAAACTGTCTTCCTCAGCTGGAGTCTTATGCTGCTTGAAAGAGTTAACGCGGATTCTTGCTTACTAGCAAGCTAGCAGAGCGCAGCTGTAGTATGGTAGGTGCCTACCAGGCCATGGAAATGAAGAATGAACGAAAAATTGATTTGCAGTAGAGACATATGAGATGTGTCAGCCAGTGTTTGTATACTATTTAAGCAGGAATTTGGATTTGCAATAAAGAGGAAGTTGTGAAAATTTTACAGTTACAATTTGTATGATTGGCAGAAAGTTTTATGATATATACATAGAAGTTATTTCATGGTCCATGGATACCAAGTTCTTAAAAGCATACAGCATAAAGAAAGTGCCAAATCTGGATGACTGGATTTTCAACTTGCAATTAATGAATATACTGATAATGTATGCAATTACTTCTAGCCGTTTTTCTGCATAAAACTAAAATTAAGCAAAAAAATATTCTCCAGACACAGTGGAGGTAAGCAGATGTGCTGTTGTACACTTGAAAACTAGTTGGCTTGTTTCCTGTTCTGCTGATGAATAGTATTGTAAAGATGATATCTCAGTGAGGATTCTGGGTGTCACGGGGGCGGGGGAACCCTACACTTCTGGCACATAAGACTTATTCTAATGTTCACTTAGTGACAGCTCACCACTGTAGTGAGGAGCTGCGGGCAGGCCTGCTTTTCATCCCGCCTGGCTCCTGCACGGCTAGCTTAGCCCCGGAAATAATAACACACAAATTGTATTCATTTAAACACTGCCTGGCCCATTATCTCTAGAGAGTTAGTTACTGACTAACTTTCACATCTTGATTAACCCATTTCTAATAATTTGTGTAGCACCACGAGGTGGTGGTTTACCAGAAAAGATTCAGCATGTCTGACCTGGTGGCTGGCTCCATGGCGTCTGCCTCATTGCCCTCTTCCCCGCATTCTGTTCTGTTCACTCCGCCTACCTAATTTTCTGTCCTATCAAAGGGCCAAGGCAGTCTCTTTATTAACCAATGAAAATAACACATAGACAGAAAGCCCACTTACATCACACCGCCACCTTAGTCTAGTTAGTATTAAGACATTATACAAAGCATAAAGTGTACAAATGGCAGTGACTTCAGATGTGATCTGCAGCTGCTTCCCGATTCCTCTCATGGACACGAAAATCTCCAGGTGGTTCTCAGGTCTATTGGCTCGGAATCCCATTGCTACACTGGTTATTCCTATTGTAACCTCAATCCAAAGACAGTTATACATCAAACTGAATGATTAATTCTTTTTAAATAATAGAAATATCGCTCAGTCTAACTCACATGACTACTATGGTAGAAGACAAGAATGTGAACATGAATGCCATGTATTACCCAAGTTCCTCCATGTATTGCCAGTTCCTCCTAAGTATTTACTTCAAAACAGCAAGCACTGGCTCCTCTTTCCCTCGGATACATAACTAAAATGAATTAATATGGCCTGACGAACACTGCTAATATTTGTGACCCTTCATTGTTTCACATGCCTGCCCCTGTCAACTAAAGGGAGGAAAAGAAAAAATAGCAAATTTAGTTAAATTTGCATCTTGCAATGAGACTTAACTCCCCGCCTCCCGCAGTTTAAGTACCCCATACTGAAATTTTTAGAGAACAGCAAATTCCTTAAGGTTGTACTTTTCAACTGACATAACTTCAGTCCCAAATTTTTTATCAAGGGTACTGACACCTCCAATTGCTGAGATAAGGCCTGAAGTTGTTAAGAGCACCCTTTTAGTACAAACACTGGCAGTCCTGTCAAGGGCCAACCACCCAGTTTCTTCTTGATCACTTTGAATACTTTATATCTTCATCAGCCAGTGAGCACTGTGGAGCAGTGTAATGATAGCCCCCTCATTCAACTTTGAGTCTGAGACTTAATCTTCTTTTGAAGTTCCTGTATTTGAAGAGAGCTGCCACAACTCCCCCTTTTCTCTGGCTTTATTCAAGATCCGTGTTTTAACAGATCTAAAACATATCCTTTCTGTATGTTTGTAATGTTTTTAAAATGGGATGTACTTTCTAGTTGGCTGTCTTCATCTGAGACTTTTGATGTGGCAGTGATTTCTGGCACATTTTCAGAAAAACACTAGCTATCCCAGTTCCTTCTAACACCTTTTCAGCCAACCACAGGAGAGCAGCACTCTGTCCAGTTCCTTATCTTATGCACAGAACACTGTCCAACCAGTCCCTCTTTCACTGTGTACTATGAAGACAAACCTATGCCTTAAGGAGTAAGCAGTCTTAAGCTCCGAATTATTGCTCAGGGGCACAAGACATTCATCTAGCCTTACTGAGGCCCCATGCTCAAGACCAACCTCCACAAAACAAAAATGCAGTGGCTCCAGCTCCTTAGTATTAGACTGACGATACCTTTAATTTATTTGGTCCTTGTTTAGCTCTTTTGCCACACACATGAAATCACTGCTCATTGGCAACCCTGGAGTTTGATCTTGAAGGGAAATGTTTCTAAGCCTTTTCTCATGCTGTGTTCTTACTGCCTTTGCAGTGACATCTGAAGACTTCTGTAAAATGGGAGACGCTAAAACCTATTCCATGATACTAGTCTTTAAACAGAAAACAATCACGTATGTAAAATCAGCAAGACATCTGGCAGCCAGACGGCAGGAAGGGTTGTGCAGTATGGGCAGGAAGGGCAATGCAGTATCAAAAAATCATTTAACCGTACTAACATTTCAGATGTATGACTTTCAAAGACAGTGATTCTTACCATGTCCTGAGCACACTTTTTCCTGTAGCAGTGGAATACATTAGCGTTGTTGGCAACAGAAATACTCATTTATATTGCTCTACATACAAACCACTCTCTAGCCATGCCATATCCAATTTTTAAAAAAAATTTTACCATCTAAACTGCAAACTCATGACTCTGATCTAATGTAGACCCCTTGATTCAACCCAACACTGAAAACTACTTGGTTATCTCTCAATGCATTTATGTGCTTCCTCTTCCAAATCTGCTCATGGTATGATCCAAGTCACTGTCAAATGCCATTGGCAAGAGGAACCTGGTGACATGCCATTAAAATCTAACTTTTTCAAAGTAAAGACATCTCAATGACTGTCTTATCTTAGTCTCTACAGATTTTTTTTTTAAATTTTAGTGTGTAAGGTAGAGATTTTAACTCAGACCCTCACATATTGCAGGACAAGCACTCTATCAATGAGTTATAGAGCCCCAAATCCTAAAGATTATCTAGTTAGTAGATACTTCTTTTATAAACTATAAAACTATAGCTGAGAAAATGTAGGCAATCCTGTTTCCACATATGTATGTTTTCAACAACTTTGTGCAAAATGGATACCACAAATGCAAATCTATGTGAAGTGAGTCTTCCAAGGTCATGCTCAAATACCTCATGTTCTTTTTTTAAAGATCTATCTATCTATCTATCTATCTATCTATCTATCTATCTATCTATCTATCTATCTATCTATCTATCTATCTATCTGTTATGCAGTGTTCTGTCTGCATGTATATCCCTGAAGGCCAGAAGAGGGCACCAGATCTCATTATAGATGTTTGTTAGCCACCATGTGGTTGCTGGAAATTGAACTCAGGACCTGTGGAAGAGCAGCCAGTGCTCTTAACCTCTGAGCCATCTCTCCAGCCCCAACCTCATGTTTTATAGGCAATTGGCATAATATATCGGAATATCTACGTTTGTATATGATAGGATTTAAGGGTATCAATTTGATGGTTCACAGGAAAAAAAAAAACCCTGAGACTTGAAAGCCAAGTGAAAATGCTTAAGACTTTCATGAAGTTAGTTACAGCAAAGGATAATCATTTCAAAGCCCAAATGATTCGATTTGTACATTTTATTTCCAAACTGAAATGATAAAATATACCAATTCATCAACAAGTGTTAATAAAGTACCTGTGGATAAATTGTTGGCTTCGAAGGTAGTGCATGAAGTTAAGTAAACTTTCAGTTCTTAAGGAAGATTACACTGAAGGAAAAAGTCAGCAAAAAACTCCAGAAAACAGAGTTTTATCATGCATGTCACAGTGCACCTCAAGTTCAGATCCTTGTATTCAAAAAGTTAAAGGACTCCCTTTTGCAAGTTACTAGCTTCTGTTCCATAAAGCCAGACACAGTTCAGCGACGTTTGTGTGCTAGAGTGTACCCATCTGCTACACTAGTAGAGAACAAACTACATAGCTATACAGGGCGAAAGGAACAGTAATAAACATAGGGGGAAATAGGAAACGCATAGTTTAGGTAATCTTTTTTGTATGTAGGATGGAATTTCAAATGAATCTTTTCACTTGCATTTGGGTCGACATCTGACATCATCAATTGTAAAAACAAAACAAAATACTGTTTAACAGGCAACTTTCCTTAATTTTGATGCTTCTGGATAAAAGAAACCATAAAACTGGTATCTGCTTAAAATTCTTGCCTCTGGATCTTAGTAACTGGATCCGGCAAAGAAAAACTTTTCTAAAAATATGTACACTGGGGTTTGCCTGCATGTCTGTGTGAGGATGCCACATCTCCTAGAACTGGGGTTACAGACAGCTGTGAATTGCCCTGTAGGTGCTGGAAATTGAACCCAGGTCCTTTGGAAGAGCAGCCAGAGTGGCCAATGTTCTTAGCTGCTGAGCCACCACTCCAGTCCCCAAATATTGTGTGTATGTCTGTACATATGCATTATTTTTTATATATCTGCATGTATGCCTGCATGCCAGAAAAGGACACCAGATCCCATTACAGATGGTTGTGAGTCACTATGTGGTCGCTGAGAATTGAACTCAGGATCTCTCAAAGAGCAGTCAGAGCCTCGAACCTCTCGGTCTTCTCTCCAGCCCAATATGGCCTATCCTGATTTGTTAAATGAGTCACACGTAATTGTGCTTTGGCTGATAATTTAGTCACTGAAGATCCTTTTCCTCTGTGTTTTCTTGTCTACCAGTTGCTGATGGTTTTATATATATATAAAAAAATCAGTTTTATAAATTATTATGGAAAGATGAGTTCTTCCTTGTGATATTAAGGATTTGAATCTGGTATACATCACACAGTGCAGCATCTGTTAAGTTTTGGACACTGTAAAGTTGTAATATGAAGTGTCATCTTTACTGAGGTGGTATTTTGAATTCTGAAATTTTTTAAAAATCCTGATGATTTTATCCATTTTGGCTATCTAAAAAAATACTTAGAGAAGGATGAATTTCATGTTCCTGTATATTCCTGATACACAAACTTAGCATTTTCATAAGCATTTACTTTCCAGAGATGATCTAGGCAATGTCAATAAGATTTCAATCATATAAAGAAATAGGTTAAAAATAAAAACTAAAAAATTAAATCCCATAACTTTCTTCCTACTCTCTCTTGCTCTACTGGTAGTTTCAGCCTTCAAACACTTTAAACATGGTATTTTCACTTAGATGTCAAAAAAAAAAGAAAATAAAAAAAAACAGTAACCTTCAAATATGAACTATGCAGGCAAGCAGCTCAAAGTAAATTTCATAAAGACAGAATAAGTCTAAAATTTCTGTCATGGGATTCCTCACCAATTTCTCAGAGTTTTGTTGGGTCCCAAGAGTGCTCAGGATATTACTTGTAGTGTTGCTACCACCCATTCAATTTTTCACCTATGGTTAATGCAGAGGATGCATTTAAAACCAACAAGGAAAAGGGCCCACTGTGGATCCATTAACCTATTTATTGATAGCTGAAAAAAAAGATCTAAATTTAGTCACACCATTCAGTGTATTTGTGAAACTTCAGGTTTTTATCAGTGTTTTCCATGTTGAAGAAGTCTGACACTTTCAAATCAAAGTCAACACTGCAGTGAGGAGAGCTTTTCTACTTTATTACAAAGAGAAGAAGCCTTTATGTGGTCAGAAAATACAAGATTGATCTTTTTCTCTTCCTATGAAACGCTGCTGTTCAAACAGCCAGAGTGAATTGTCTCAGTTCACGTCTTGAAGTCCCATCACATTCACTTGGGTATGGATGTCCTTGGCTGCTGAAAATCTGGCCCTTTAGTGCACAGGGCGACAAAGTCCCCTGACCAGCAGTTCCAGAATGTCCCATTTTCATATATTGCATCCATGCACACCTCCTAAAAATGAGGTACAGCAGGGCAAACATTTTCCAAAATAGATGTCATATATATAATATATACACATTCGTACATACATAC